AATTAATGATTTTAATATAATAAGAACCCAAGTGTGTTGATTTAATTTAAAATATTTTTTTTAAATCAGGCTCATCATTGTTCTTAATTTAAGAACTTTTAATCACTTTTATATGCACTTGGCCAGTACTACAAATGAACTTGTGGTATGCAAGTCAGTCCAATTCTTTTCCACTTCCTGAAATGTAAAGAGAATTTCATTGGAAGGCATTGGCCAAGTGCATTCTGTAACCTCACAGGGATCTAATATTACAGCCTGCAGTATAAGAGGAGATATTTTAGAATCATGTGAAATGTAACTTGACAAAGTAGGCACATGAATGATTAGGTAGTGGCTGAGCAGCATCTTGAGAATATCAAGGTACATCTTTAAGGTTTCTTCACAAGAATGTGAATTTTTCAAGTCCACTGCTCAAAGGACCTGTACTACAACAGTTGCTTATCAGAAAGGGTCCTCCTTGGCATCTGTGTAAGGCACTGAAAATTCAAAAGGGTCCATCACAGCCTTGAATCTGATTTAAAAACCTCATACATTTCACTATTTTTTCTTCTCTAAATAACTTTTCTGGCTAGTTTAACCTGCATTTTGAAAGGCTCATAAACAGCTGAGGTCACAGAAACATTCTGAAATGTCTAGCTGAGGTGCTAGTTTAACACCCAGGGTTGTTTAATGCTGATTGCTGCAGAGTGGGAAGGAGTAGGGAGAACTTCTTTCAATGCCAGAGTATTACTTCATACCTAAAAATTGTAAATATATCCTTTGATCAGCACAGAGATACTTCTGAAACAGATCTCAAAATAAGTTAGTAACTATGTTTTTATATTAAAAAAACCCCAACCCGACACAAACAAAACCAAAAAAGATTGACACGAAGGAGAAATTAAGAATGTAAAAGCTCACACATGATTTTCCATAGTTATCCAAGATTATTGTGTAGTCCAGAAATTCTACCAGGTACTTCTGTTTTAGACATCCAGAATAAATTAAAAATTTAGTTAAAATGGTGACAAATTGAATACAATTACCATGAATTGAAATTACACATGGCAACATAACCACATATAGAATAAAATATGAAAACGTTCAAAGACATAGTTCCCTCACTTCTCTTTAGCAATTTTATTAAATGATCACTTTAAAAATATTTTAAAAATTTTAATTAGTGAAATTGGTTTTTTTTAAATGTAGCCTGCTTTCTATTTTCTATGGTGGTCTACACTAGCATTATAGGAACATTTATCCTAAGCAAAAGTAACATTTTTCCTATGATGGTTTCCAATGAATGTGTTCCTAAACGAAGCTAGCCAAGTTCATTCTCTAATATAAATACTCTATTCAAGAACTGTTTGTTGTGATTTCCCAAAGTACTTTTTATCTGAGCTGGAACTTATGTAGTCCTGGCTCACTACCTTAGGTCTTTGTTGCTTTCTGTGTTACTTTCTCTTCACGGTGTGTTAAATTTAAAAGTTTAGCAGGCAGACCTCAATGCTCAATAAGGGGAGCATTTAAATACTCTGTCTTAAACCTGAACTACGATGCAATTCCCTGCAATGGTGATGATAGAGTATATGTGGCAGTACGAGATATCAAGAATGCTCAGTTCTGTATATCTGGTTGTCAGGAAAAGAGACACTTGTGTACTTCCCTAGCATTTGTTAGAATGTTGTATACTGAATCCAGGTTTGCCTCGTCACATGGCATTGGTTGTTATGGTCAGCTACAGTGTTTTTCCACGTGGTCTATTATCTGATCTGTATACAGTGTTAGTCAGTTTTTCCACAGAAGTATACACTTTAATTGATGGACTATCCAACAAAGTATATTTTCTTAGAAAACCTTTTCAATTTGAGGACTCTCCGTTCTTAGATGCACTGTTCATTCAGATCATTCACCAGAGCATATTTTTCTTCAGATGAGATTAACGTTTTGTAAGAAAACTAATTAAACCTTGGTAGTTTGTTTATAGCCTTGAGGCATCTAGTTTCTCTTACACTTTCATTCTGTCCTTACATTTTCAAGACTCCTACTACCATCTTGCATTCATTATTTTGGGAACCACTGGTCAAATCCACAAGTTTTCTTCAAATGCATTTAACTTTGCTTTCCTGGTTATGCAGCTAATGATTTATTAGCACAATCCAGTCATGCATGTCTCAGAGTTCGTTAAATATTTCATTCCACAATGGACATAAAGTAATAGTCTCCTTGTTAACAGAATATACAAGTTATGGCAGCATTGCTAGAACACAACCAAATATACTTTAGAGCAGGCAGTGTGACTGTTATTGTACTTTCTAAAACTTGCTTTTTAACAAAGGGATGGTGTTTTTTTCTCAGTGTTAGGGAGTGTAAATCTTCTGTGACTTATTCCAGATTTTAGAAAGCCTATTTTTTTTTTAACTTGACAAAGGTTGTTTGACTTTTGCTGCATGAGAAAAATCTTGCTGGACTCAGTTGGAGAGGCTGCTGAATTTAGCAAGTTGCTATGTCCCTGTTGACTGTGGTGCACAGCATGAGATGCTGTTGTGCTCTAGCTGAGAACAACACTGCATCAAAAAAGAAAGATGGTTCTAGCCTGGACTAGTCAGTCTCTTTATACCTGTGTTGTGGTTTAACCCCTGCAGCTGAGCATCACACAGGCTTGCTCCCTCTGCCACCAGCTGGACTGGGGAGAGAACAGGAAGGATAAAATTCAGAAAACAGATGGGTTGAGATGAAGACAGTTTAATAAGTGAGGCAAAAGCTGCACACATAAGCAAAGCAAAAGAACTTCATTCACCACATGCTATGGGCAGTCAGGTGCTCAGTCATCCCCAGGAAAGCAGGGCTTCACTCATAACAGTGACTTAATGCCATCTCCTGAAATGTCCCCTTCTTCCTTCTTCTTCTCCAGCTTTATATGCTGAACATGGTGTTATATGGTAGGGAATACCCCTTGGGTCAGTTGGGGTTAGCTGTCCTGGTTGTGTTCCCTCCTGACGCCTTGTTCATCCCCAGCCTCTCCAATAGTAGAGTGGGATGAAAAGCAGAAAAAAAATTGTCTGTGTGTAAGTGCTGCTCAGAAATAGCTAAAACATCCCTATGTTATCAACAATTTTCAGCACAAATACAACTCAGAGCCGTATACAACCTACTATGAAGAAAATTAACTTTATCCCAACCAAAACTACCACAAGATACTTCTAAAACCAGCTGTATATTATAAGCTCACACTCCTACTGCTGAGCATAATAGTTTTAAGTTCCCATTGGTCTTAAGGGATACCAAGGACATTTACTATCTATTTGTAAAAATGACAGTTTTTCCGTGAGGTCTTCAAATGCTGCTGAGTGGAAAGATGAATTCTATTGTTACTATAGAGTAATGTTTGGAAGGTTACCTCCGTAGCTATGTACCAACAACAGCTGAGTATGTGTTTATTGGGTGGAAGAAATTTATTGCACCAACCTGCTGTGTGAGCAGTGAAGAATAATTTCATTGTTTGATAGATTGTAGACTGGGATTTTTCTTGCCTTTCATTCTGTCAAAAGAATTGGGAGCAAAGCATGAAGAGCTTTCCAAAATTTTCTGTTGAGTCTCTTCTATTTTCATGAGGTCTTCAGTCTTTACCACATATTATTTTTGATACTCTTCTTCCATGGTTGCTCACATCCAATTTTTGCAGCCAGAATTTTTCTGGCAGAACTGTGAAATTGGCACAGTATTTAATGTGCCACTTGTCACTCTCAAAAGACTGTTTATTTCACTGGATATAAATTTTATATGAAAGCTGTTATACAAAACAAAATGCTTTAGAGAACAAAATACTTTACAGGAGAGAGACAGACAGACATACAAGAGGAATTTATGTTGAAATCCTGGAGTGTGTAGGCTGTTCCCACTTCTACTAGCTTACTTCTGCTCGACAGGCATCCAGAATTTCAAACTTTTTTTTTTCATTCTCTGGAATCCACTTACAGTGGACTTAGCACCTGTAAGTGATACATTAACATGTGTTATACTGCGGGAATTTACTATGAACTGGCTATTCTTTTCTTGGATGTTCACATGAAGAAACGTGAAAAAATTATGGGAGAATTTTGTGGTGGTTTGGGTTTTCCCCCCAGTAAAGATAAATTTCCTCTCCAGTCACTAAAATAGAGCATTAGCATACTTGTATTTTTATTCAATGGACCTCAATTATAAATATGATTCACCTATATATAAAATTTGGAGAAGGGGTGTAGTTTTTGAAAAGTCTGCAGGAGTACAGGTCCTTGATGTCACCTTGAGGGAATCCATCAAAATGTGTTCTAATTTGGCTGGTCTAGTTGCCAAGGTAGATGTGTAGTTTTCAATCTTTGAACATTTTGTTGATCGAAGTAAGAACAGTGTCGATTTATAACTTTTGACAGCTTCAGCAATGGCCTTTTCTGTCAGGCAGTGTCATGTATAGAGGAGAGAGCAACAAGCACAGCTGATGTACTTAATTTATTTTGATAAAATACTTTTGCATAGGTGGTAAGTGTTAGAAACAGCATACTAATGGTGACACAATTTAAACATTTGCCTCTCAAGGTCTTTTATGAGTATTGACTCCTAAGTTGATGATATTAATAATATTTTTGTACTTATGTGGTTCATTACAAGATTGCTATTTTTTGCCTACTGGCAAGTACACACATTCTAAAGTGAAATTATGTCTTTCTTCATGTCAAAAGAAATTTCTTCATTTCTGTTTTATCCTAGAATTTCCTAATGTTCTATAATACATGCACAAAACATCCCCAACCAAACAACCAAACAGCCAGAGAAAAAGACTGCAAAGAATTATATTTTAAAATTATCTTCATAGAATCATAGGGTAGATTTTGTGATGATGATAATAGCATACATTTTGTCTTTGGGAGGTTTTTGAATTTATTATCATGCTATACTTGCATTATGAAGAACCTGTTCAATTTCTAGTTAGTATTTTTTCTTTAATATGTATTTTTAATGCTTTTTAATATTTTTTTCAGGGAGTGCTGGAACACCTGTTGTTTTCAATGAAAATGGAGATGCTCCTGGACGTTATGATATTTTTCAGTATCAAATCACCAACAAGAGTACAGAATACAAAGTAATTGGTCAGTGGAGTAATCAACTTCATCTAAACGTAAGTACACTGTTTCCCTCAGTATGGTCCTGCTGAAACTGGCTGTTCATGGCTTGGATGGGCACACTGTTCACTAGGTAAAAACCTGTCTGGAGGGCCAAGCCATCCAGAGATGACAGTGAATGGAGTTACATCCAGCTGGCAGCTGGTCACAAGTGATGTTCTCCTGGGGTCAGTACTGGGGCCAGTCCTGTTTAATGTCTTTATGAATGATCTGGACAAGGTGATCAAGTGCAGCCTCAGTAAGTTTGCAGATGAGACCCAAGCTGAGCAGGAGTGTTGAGCTGCTATAGAGTAGGAAGATTGGCAGAGTGCTCTGGACAGGCTGGATCGATTGTCATGGCCAATTGCATGAGGTTCAAGAGGTGAAGTAATGAGTCCTGCACTTGGGTCACAACAAGCACAGGCTGCACCACAGTCTGGGGGCAAAGTGTCTGGAAAACTGCCCAGTGGAAAAGGTCCTGGGAGTGTTGGTTGACACAGCTGATTAGGAGCCAGAGTGTGCCCAGGCAGCCAAGAAGGCCAATGGCATCTTGGCTGTATCACAAATAGTGAGGCCAGCAGGACCAGGGCAGTGATTGTCTCTCTGTACTTGGCACTGGAGAGGCTGCAGCTGATAGAATCATAGAATCATTAAGGTTGGCATAAACATCTAAGGTTGTTGAGTCCAACCATCAATCAAACACTGCTAGTACCAGCACTAAACCATGTCCCTAAGACCACATCTACAAGTCTTTTAAATATCTTCAGGGATGGTGAATCCATCACTTCCCCAGGCAGCCTTTTCCATTGCTTGACCACACTTACAGTGGAAGAACTTTTTTCCTATTATGAAATCTAAACCTGTTGAGGCATAACTTGTTCTATCACTCGTTACCTGTGAGAAAAGACAGAGCTCCGCCTGTCTACAACGTTCTTTCAGGTAGTTGTAGAGAATGATAAGGTTCTCCTTGAATACTAAAAGACATTGAGATGCTGGGGCATGTCCAGAAAAGGGAAATGAAGCTAGTGAAGGGTCTGGAGCACAGGTCTTGTGAGGAGTGGCTGAGGGAGCTGGGCTTGGTTATTCTGTTAGGTAGCAGAGGAGCCTCAAGGGAGAACTTACTGCTCTCTACAACTACCTAAAAGAAAACAGTGATGGGACAGGGGTAACTACTGGAAGTTGCACCAGGGATAGTTTAGATCAAACATTAGAAAAAAATTTCTTCACTGAAATGGTGATCAAGCAGTGGAACAGGTTGCCCAGGGAAGTGGTCACCATCCCTGAGGGTATTTTAAAGATATGTAGATATGGCCCTTAGGGACATGGTCGACTTGGCCATGTTAATCCAACGGTTGGATTTGATGATCTTACATGTCTTTTCAATCTAAACTGTTCTATGGTTCTACCAATTTCATTAAGATATTGACATTGGAGAATACTAATTTGAGTATCAAATTATTTTAAATGCTTAAAAAATATTTGTTCTCTGTCAGTTGGCAGAACAAAGCACTTCCCCTCTGTTCTTGAGAAGACAGTAAAAGATAGCACAATAGACTGAACCAAATTCTTTATATTTTTTAAGTCAGATGGGTTGTGTAGTTTTCAGCTCCTTCAGATGATATTTTTGAATATTTTTCTATCTGTTATTCCTCAGAGTGATTAATAAGTTAGGCAGGGAAATAATAACTCTTCCTTTAAAAAAGGTATCAGACAAAATGATGGGGACAGGTAAATTGCCCAGGTATTTCAAATAATATAAGAGGATGGAAATGTATTTCATAAAAAACAAGTTTGGATTGTAACCACTTCTGATTTAGTTAAAACATTGGAATGATGGACTACTGCAATAAAAATATTCCACTTTGCTGTTTTTCTATATGAATAACTTGGATTTGTATTGTCCCTTATTACTTCATAGCAGAAGGAATAAAAATACACAATTTACCCATCCTTAGATGGTGTTTTTAATTGCTGTCTTAATGTGCTTTGCAAGTTTTGGGGTAGTTAAGTTCCACCTGTGCATGGAATTATATTTGTGTTGAAAATTGCCCAACAAAATTCAGAGGATATATTACATAGTATTTGTATGACAGATAGGCATCAAAGTTTAATATGAGAAATTTTTGAGTCCAAGGTACTTCTTTCTGGAAGATGATGTCTTCATGCAAAGAGAAAAAAAGAAAAATGAAAGTGATCTCTTTCCTTAGTAGATATGCAATATACTTGAGTTGTGTTAGCCATTTGGGTACCTCTGCAAACGTGAAATACCAATGTTGTTTTGCTAAAGGCTGATGAGAAGGGCAACAGTGTGAATTGATGGCTAGATCCACCAAAGCGAGTTTATGCAGTGAATTCAATCAAAGCACAAAAAGAAGGTTTCAAATATCTCTGGTTTTCCATGTGAGAGTTCCTGATGAAGAGTAACAAAGACAGTGTAGGAAATATTTACAAATTATTCTTCTGTTCAGATGGTTTTGCAATAATTATCTGAGTGCTATCCACAATAACACACATGATAGCTCCCTATTTTCATCCACAGCTGTTAAACCACTTTAGTATATCTACGATTTAATATCTGTAACTACTTGTCAGGGACTCATTTATTTAGTTATTCTGCCCAAAGAGAAAAAAATCCTACCAACAGAAACTGTCTGTTGCAGATTGTGTGGTAGTGTAACTTCCCTTCACTAACCTGATATCTGTCTGTTGAAAGGCATGAAAAGAAAAAAATTAGTTGAACAAGTCTAATATTAAACATTATTTTCTGGAAAACACTACATTTAGGTCCTTATCATAACTATTATGGAATGCATTCCAAATTTTGATAATTGCTACATTTTTCTGAAAAGTTAGTGTTTATTAAATGAACTCAAAAACTGATACACACATTTTGCTCAAATGCTACTACTAACATAACAGTTATATAGTAATAACCAAAAGCTATCTAAAAATTTGCTTCAATTTTAGTTCCATTATGATCTGACTTTTTCTATCTCCCCCTAGACTTCTAAATTTTTCATTAAGCCTGAATTCATTAAGTTTTTCGGTCTCATTATTTCTGCCTCTTGTATATGTACTTGGGGGAACTCTGAAATATTGTTGCATTGATGGGTACTCAAATCAGGGTACTCAGTGAGTGGTTTCAGTACTACTACTGAAACCACACCATGGCTAACCACATTGACCACAAATCTAACTGGAAAGGATTTATCTAAGAATGCCCCTCATTAACTCTCAGTAGTTAAGAATATGTTAGAATGTTGTTTGGTTCTTTTTTCACCTCCATGAGCTCAGGTACTGGATACAACTGATAGTTCAATCCCTCGGGCAAGCTCTGTTGAGTGGAGCTGTGAAGATATGGGTGGGCTGGCACAGTGCACTGCAGTGCAAGCTTCTGCTCCCAGCCTTGTGCTGGGGTCCTGCTCTTGCTCCACCAGCCCCTGCTCTGCTGCAGATCCCTGCTCACACGGGCCAGGATGCAGGCAGGCACACAGGGCTCACTCCTCCTGTTTCTACATTCACTAAACTCTTAGCAGGCGTTGATGGCAGTTATGACAGATGATGATCTGCTGTGGCAAAGCTGTTGCCTTCTCTCACTAGACAAAATATATTAAAACCAAGTAATCTTTTTGAATGATTGCCAATACTCCAGATCATCATATTGCAAATTAGGAAGTGCTTTTGATTGCCAATGAATCATAAGGAACACAGTGGATATTTTCATTAGTTTCTGTGAAAACATCTCTATTTATTGAAAGTGAAGCTGTATTAAGATGGCAGAGCAATTTTTACCCTGCTGCTCTTTAAAGGGGATGGCTTTAAAATATAATACTTTACCCCCTGTATCCTTTCTCCTCTAGTTTCCCTATAATGAAGACACATGTAATAATGATTTTTAGTGATAATTTGTAAGCTATATATCCTCTGTAGATACCTCTGCCCTGATATTTCTTCCTCAAATTGTGCGGTAACATGTAGCTTTGATGTGTTTATGATTATGTTCATCTATACAGCTGGTATTGTGTTTCAGAAAATTTATAGTTTTTATTCATCTGTTTATTTTCCCTGTCAGAAAAATACATCTTGAAAGTATCAGGTTTTTAGTACAATAGGAACAATTTATTAAAGGCAAACTAGAACATATCTCCCATCTAGATAACTGAATAGAAAAGTTTCCCTTTTCTATTTCTGATCTCATTCCCCCTACTTTTCAATTTTCCTTTTCCTTAAGACCCTCTTTGCTAATTTATATCAGGTTTTGGCTGCAGGTTTGTTGTCTGGGCTGTGGCTTCTCACCTGGTAGCCAGTCTCAGTCTGTCTGTGGCAACCACCCTCAGGATTCAGGGTCGCTCTGCTGATGTCTCTGGCTCCTCAAAGTTTCAGTGACTCTGCTGGGTCCTTGTCAAACTTCAGACTTGTTCCTTTCTCGTTGCAGTGCTGGTTTTCCCTTTGGACAGAAAGTGCTGACTCTGGCTGGATAAAGATTCTGTATCATGTTCCCTAAGGGGCTCTTTCTCAGCAGGCTTCACCAGCTGCACAGACTCTTAACTCTGATGCTGGATTCTTCATGGAGATTTCAGTAACATTAATGCTCTCCTTTAGGCTAACTGACCTTTAAAATTTCCTCTGAAGCAACTACAGCTACCAGATACAGGCACTTCATGACTACTGATCAATCCCACTCTTAATTCTTAAAAAACACCTCATGACAATGCTGATATGGTAGATAAAATAAATTAAGAAACAATAATGATCTTCCAAATTTAATTTTTTCATTATTGTAGAGTTTGAATAAGGTATGTCAGTCTGGAAAGGAAACTCTGAAAGCAAATATTTAGAAATGTCAAACAATAATCTCTAAGATCCTTATTGTCTGATGCTTCTGACCATGCAAATGTACACCTCTTTTTGTAAAGTCCTTTTACTCTCCAAGGTTTCCTGACTTCAGCTGATCTTAATTTACTGGAAACAACCAGACCTTTAAAACTTTTAGTATGATTTTAAAAGAAGATATAAT